GAACAGACACCAGGGTCATAAAAGGGGGCCCGGTGGGCACAAATGATTCTGACCCATTAGTCCATTCCACGCAATCAGGAAGAGGTATTATTTATACTTCTTAACGAAAAGGGCCAAGTTGGCTCTCCTTATACCTACGCGGCATGCGTGGTCAGGGACGCTGTGCTCTTGGCTCCTGACACCCAAGGACCACAGCCCAACACCCAGTGCGGTGACGGGAGCTATGAGTCTCTGTGAATCTGCAGTGACAGCTCATTTGCAGAAAGCAGCAGCAATAATTCTTTTCTGACTGAAGAAGAACTGAAACTCACAACTCTTCTTACTGACCAAGGCACATACGAGATTAAGGTTTGGACTCAATGCTCTTTCCGTGGTCTCTGTGCACAGGAACGGGACACCCGAAACTCTTGGGTGAGGAGGGGGAGCGGCTGGCTTGCCTTAGATGACGAGACCAGTCCTCCCTCGGAGGGCAACATGACGTGAGTCAACCTGATTTCCTTGCTCCTATTTGCCGGCAGTAATTCCAGAAGAAAGAGGTAGTCGGTCACAAGATACCCCGAGATCTCCACTTCCTGCCAAAGAAGTAGAGCCCGCCCTGCACGTTTCAGGGAGCTCAGCGTCCGGGCGGATGAGCTACAAAAATAAAGCTGCTGCTCGTGAGGAAAGAACCCTGTGTGCGCTTCTTAAATCTTAGACACGTAAGAATTCAGATTTGCTTTTCTGTCATAAGGCTGCTAATGACAATATTTTGGTCTTTTTGGTTCAAAACTCTTACAGACGGACATTTAAAAGTTCAATCTAATCAGGCGCCAATAATAGTAAGAAATATTAGCTCTTAATTAAGCAAAGCAGTAGGATAACAGGCAAGCCTTTCATCAGGCCTTAAAAACAAATATTTTCCATTTTTTTTAGCTAAAAACAATAAAAACCCCACCCACAGTTTCCACATACGGCCTCTGACGCCTGAAAGGGCTGGAAAAGTGACACACTAATGATGCACCTAAAAAAACAGGCCTGAAGCACAAACTCAGAGAGAGAGAAGAAAAGACTTTTCTGACAGGGATCTTAGAGTTTTCTCGTGGGTCCGACTGAGTGCAGCTGGCTTGACAAGATAAAAGATGAAACGATAGTGTCACCGGGATGCCTGGAGTGCCCCCACCGGTCGACGCTGCCCACCGCCCGTCTGGCCCAGGGGATGAAATGCCGTCCACGTTTGGAAATGGTTGGAAACAAAACAAGAACAGTAATACTTCGTGACGTGTGAAAACCAGACGACCCCCAAAGCTCTGCGGGAACACAGCCGGCCCGCTGCTTCCCAGCCCGTCCGCAGCCGCTGTCAGCCGACCAAGAGCGGCCACTCCAGGGCCCCTGTGACCTGAAAAGCGGGAGACGTCCTGTCTGGCCCTTACGGAGAGGACGCGGCCCTGGTGTGCAGCCCGGGCGAGGCTGGCCTCATGTGTCGCTCGGTGAGGGGCTGTGCTCTCTCCTCTGACAGGCCGCTTACTGCGCTGCCACCTCTTGGTTCCAAAGCCCCAGCCACAAATAGTGCGGGCAGGAAACCAGACAGACGTCCGCGCCTGCTGCAGGGTCGGGATCACCACGCGAGAACACGAGGTCTACGTTGTCACCAACCACCACTTCCAAACGGGAGCTGGCCACATTCCTACTCAGAAAAACCACTTACTATGGGAATAAAAGATAAAGTTAACAGAGCAGGTGTAATTTTACTTATTTAGGAATAGCATGAATTATGTAAATTTCTTTACAACAGTACCCACCCCCCCCCAATTATTTTTTCCTTGTCAGTAAGTCACTTCCCACTGTTCCCGCCATCACCTCCATTAGACCAAATAGTAAGTTCTTTGTGCTGCTGTGCTCCCCATGTTGATGCCCTTTAAAAACACAGACTCGGGGGCACCGGGCTGGCTTGGTCGGTTAAGCGTCTGACTTTGGCTCAGGTCACGGTTTCACGGTTTCTGGGTTTAAGCCCCGCATCAGACTCTGTGCTGACAACTCGGAGCCTGGAGCCTGCTTTGGATTCTGTGTCTCCCTCTCTCTCTGCCCCTCCCCTGCTTGTGCTCTCTCTCTCAAAAATAATAACATTAACATTTTTTTTAAAAAAACAGTCTGACTCAATCTGAGGAAATCCTTTTACTTCTCAGTTGGTTCTTTTAAGATCATTCTCTTGAGAGGTGTATTTTCTTCTGCATTCTAATGGTAAAACAGGGCTTTTGAGCTATTTATACTGAGGCTTAAAATTTATTTAAAGACTTCTGAAGATTTCCACTTCAACACTAAGGTAGGTCAAAATCTTTGAAGGGCCTCTGTTTACAAACCACAGGATCCTGCATAAGAATAATCTTTATGCACGATTAAGTCAGCAAGTAGAGCAAGTAAGGAAAAATTTCAAGATTCCCCCTTTAACCAAAAGAATTAACAATAGAGAAAGAACTCAAAGAAGATATGCTGGAGCACCTGGGTGGCTCAGTCGGTTAAGCACCCAACTCTTGATCTCATCTCAGGCCATGATCTCACAGTTTGTGAGTTCGAGCCCCACGGCAGGCTCTGCACCAACAGTGTGGAGCCTGATTGGGATTCTATCCCTCCCTCTATCTGCCCCTCCCCTGCTCTCTTGCTCTCCTTTAATAAATCACAACTGCATACCAAGTATTCAAAGGTTTGAAAAATGTAACCACAAATGAGCAAACAGTGAAAAACTATTAAAAATGAACAAGCATATTTGGAAAGGAAACAGAACTTTTAAAATGAAACTTTAATTGCTGAAATAAATTCAGTAGATGGATTAAATAACAGATCAGACACAGCTGAAGCCAGAATGAGTGGACTCGAAGAAAAATCTACAGAATGTATCCAAACTGTCTTCCAAAGACACAGGGAGACAGGAAATATAAGAAAGCCTAAAAGATGTGAAGGCTAGAATGAGCTGGTTCAACAGACACAAAAGCAAAATCCCAGGAGGAAAAACAGAGCCAGCAGTCTGCACTCAGGGATGCGCCCACACGCTCTTGTACCTCCGCACGAGGGGACGCAGCAGGGCGCGCATGCCAGGACGTCAGCGGCACTGGTTACAGCAGCCCCCAACTGGAAACAGCCTAGTGTCCATCAGAAGGATATCATACGCGAGTCACAGCAGAGTCACAGTGGATTAAGCATGTATGCACTGCTAACAAGCAATAACAACATGCATGAATCTCAAAGATATTTTTATAAAGCACAAAAACAAACTAAACCACATTATTTAGAGATACATGATAAATGATAAAACTTTTTTAAGGCAGGGTAACAGTAAATACAACAGAAACGGTATTTGTGACTTCTGGTGGGGGAGTTAGGGGACCGGTTTCAAAAGGCATAGAGGGTGCTGACGTTCTAGATCTCAAGTCGGTAGTTTCATGAGTGCACATCTTACTAAACCATCTATTCCTTTACGTATATTAAATATTATGTTAAAAGTAACATTTGTAGAATCTCTATACAACAAATAGTACAGATGGGGGCTAAAGATGCTGAGACCCACCCCTAACGTGTCACATGAACCCAGAGCCAGGCTCTTTGATCTTCCTGTGTCTTTGAGCAAGTTCCTGACCATTCAGAGACCTAGTTTTCTCATAAAATATTGGCACTAATATCTGCCTCATGGGCTAGGAGAATTTATATGGTAAGATTACCAGACTATAAACTCCATGGCAGATAGGACTTATCCCTCTTCCTCATCTATGTATCCCAAGTGGATAGCACATGCCTGGAACATAGTAGGTATTTATGCTAATTCCTCTTCCTTCTCATATAAGAGTAAAGAACAAAGTGTTAGGAGCATATGTGTTTAGTTTTAGAGTGGTTCCTTCACTTTATTGGGTTTTGTATCTTTTATTTTTTTAAGGTTTTATTTTTTAGTAATCTCTACATCCAATGTGGGGCTTGAGCTCACAACCATGAGGTCAAAAGTCACATGCTCCACAGCCTGAGCCGTCCAGGTGCCCCTGTTTGTTTCCTTTTCAGATTGATGTTTCCTCCTGGCATTGGCTGTACATCACGACATGTAAGAAGCAACTTGACTTCTCTGGATTTTAGGCTCTTCATGCGTTACACAATTGGACTAAAGTGTACAACTTCTTCGTGTCTATAGCCTGACATCACACCATATATGTTAGTGTTTTCAAATAAACTGTAAAGTGAGCATAGTTTTGTCACACAAAATACAGCTTTAAGTTCATGGACATCCCCCCAAGAAGGATAACACCTGTCCAAGCGACACCATGTGTGAGATGGTCAAAACTGCGTTCCGCGATGGTCATCTCAGGCGAAGAGGTCATGACTTAGGGCCCTTTCATCTTCCAGAACATTCCAGAACATTCCATTAGTTTGGAGCTTCCATCTTTGACCTCCGTCATTCTTGGCCTTTTTCCTTTGGTTCCTATTTTATTCTGCAGCCTGTGGTTACTCCCAAACTTCAGCCCCCCTCCGCGCCCCGCCCCCTCCCAGCACTGAGCACACATAAGTTCGCCTACTCTGAGGCCTTCAACTCTTCCAGTTGTCACAGTTCATGGAGTCCGGGCATCAATGGGTCAATAGGTCAAACCAAACCTCAGGCCCTCCTGCCCCTAACATGGAAGGCCCACGCCGCTCCGGCTACCACAGGCCAAGCGCCAGCTCTGTCTGTGCAGAGGGACCACCGGGGGCCCAGTTGTCCAGCCGTGTGACGGAAGCCTCAGACGCCTGTTCGGCGCCTCCACTCCTCGTGCGTCTTCACGGTCCCGGGTCCCTTCCTCACACCTGAGCTCCTTCTGCGGCCTTACGTTCCGCCTCCACCTCTGGAGGCCCGGCCGTTACCAGCGCAGAGCACTGGAACCGCCATGGCGCATGGCGCATGGCGCGGAGGAGTAAAGCACACGTATTCACGGCCTGGAGAACATGATAAGCAAGACCCCCTGAGGGCAGAAGAGCCACCAGTCCCTCCCAGGAGGGGCCGGCTACCTTACCTGATGTTTTCCAAGGCGCTCGTTACCTGTTGCTGTTCAACGTCATAGAGTCTCACCCTGAAGCCTCCGCTGGCAAACAACATAGCCCAGCTTCGCCCAATGAGTCCGCTAACGAGAAAGAGAAGAAGAAAGGCTTCCAGTTAGCTTAGTGGAACAAGTTCTCGTTCCTAACCCAGAATGAAATTTTTAAAATTATACAGCACCCTATTCTAAAATACTAAGAATAGGGGCGCCAGGGTGGCTCAGTGGGTTAAGCGTCCGACTTCGGCTCAGGTCATGATCTCACGGTTTGTGGGTTCGAGCCTCGTGTGGGGCTCTGTGCTGACAGCCAACTTGGAACCTGCTTCAGATTCTGTCTCCCTCTCTCTCTGCCCCTCCCCTACTCATGTTCTGTCCCTGTCTCAAAAATAAATAAACTATAAAAAAAAATTTTTAAATACTAAGAATAGGAGTGCCAGGGTGGCTCAGTGGGTTAAGTGTCTGACTTCAGCTCAAGTCATAATCTTACAGTTCATGGGTTCAAGCCCCACATCGGGCTCTGTGTGTGTTTTGAAATAAACATTAAAAATTTTTAAATAAAAATAAAATACTTAAGAATAGTTACACATTTTTATAGCTGTATTTATTTAAAATGTTATCTCTCTGCATAGGAGCCCCTGAATTCTCAACTTCACTGTCAGCATTAATATGCCTGGCACACTGCCAGATGTCAGGCAGTTAACATTAGTTGACACACTGAAACAGAAAATTACAATAGTGCCGGGCCCCTGTGTGGCTCAGTCGCTTAAGAGTCCGACTTCGGCTCAGGTCATGATCTTGCAGTTTGTGGGTTTGACATCCTCATCGGGCTGTGTGTGGACAGCTCAGAGCCAGGAACCTGTTTCAGATTCTGTGTCTCCCTCTCTCTCTGCCCCTCCCCTGCTCACCCTCTGTCTCTCTCTGTGTCACTCAAAAATAAGTAAACATTAAAAACAAATTACAATAGCGAGGTGGTAGTGTGTCGTGAGGGGAAAGGCCCTGATGTGAACCTCCATTTGACCACTGTTTTAGGCAAGTCACTTAATGTGAAGAACAGAGACATTATTTATTCGAGGAAGATGGGAAAATACTAACTGCTACCACCACCAGCATTTGAGCATATTAGGTGCCAGACGACATCCAACATTTTACATGTCTTTCCTGTGTTCATCTTTACCACAACTCCACAAGGTAGGTGCTATTATTATTTCCATTTTATATATGGGAAAACTGAGGCATGGAGGGGTTAACATTATACAGGCTATAAGTGCTGGGGCTACAAACCCAACAGCCTAACTCTTGAATCTTAACCAGTAGTATTCTGCCCACGCTGTTTCAGGCTTACCAGAAAAGGGAAAGATAAGAAAGACATGGAAAACTCACATGGAGTTGTTCAAAAGGTTAAAAAATAAATGTAAGGAGCATATCTAAAGCCTAAATCTTGGTTTCTAATATCATTCTCCAGTAAAAGGAACCAGGGCTCAAATGTCCATCGATGGACGAATGGATAAAGAAGATGTGATATATACATATATACGTACACGATGGAGTATTAATCAGCAAACAAAAAGAATGAAATCTTGCCATTTGCAACTACGTGGATGGAACTAGAGGGCATCATGCTGAGCGAAATTAGTCAGAGAAAGACAAATACCACATGACTTCGCTCATATGAGGACTTTAAGACACAGAACAGATGAACATAAGGGAAGGGAAGCAAAAAGAATACAAAAACAGGGAGGGGAACAAAACATAACAGACTCCTAAATATGAAAAACAAATAGAGGGTTGCTGGAGGGGTTGTGGGGGAGGGGAATGGGCTCCATGGGTGAGGGGCATTAAGGAATCTACTCCTGAAATCACTGTTGCACTCTATGCTACGTAACTTGGATGTAAATTTTTTTTTTAAACATACTGGTTTATTTTTTTTTAATGTTTTATTTATTTCTAGGAGAGAGAGAGACAGACAGACAGACAGTGTGAGCAGGGGAGGGTCAGAGAGAGAGGAAGACACAGACTCTGAAACAGGCTCCAGGCTCTGAGCTGGCAGTCAGCACAGAGCCCGACGCGGGGCTCGAACCCACGAACAGAGAGATCATGACCTAAGCGAAAGTCAGACGCTTAACCGACTAAGCCACCCAGGCACCCCAACTTGGATGTAAATTTTTAAAAATAAATTAAAAAAAAAAAAAAAGGAACCAGGACCCCTTGGGGAAATGGCTGATTCTAGGACTTAGCCAGGAGACACACAAGATGAGCCTGTGTAACTGGCAGTGCCAGAAAGTATGCAAATGCTAATAAAATATAAACGTATTAAAAAAATGATAAAAGCCTATCTTGATGGAACATGTCAAAGGAAGGCCAGAGCCCAGGGAAGGAGCTCTAGGGGCCAAAGCTGGGACAAGCGGAGCGAAAATGCGAAGTAACACTGGACTAACACAAAAAGTATAAACTAAGGATCCATGAGTCCACACTGATATCAATAAATGTTTGAATAAACAGGAGATGAGCCCAATCTCCCTCACAGAAGAAGTGCCCGATAATTTATGTAGTAACAGAACTCCCCTAAAACTCACCACCCCTGAAGCGTCGGCTGTGCGGTGACTTCCTTCAAAAGAGCACAGTGACGAGAAGGGAAAGTTTAGAGTGACTTTACAGCGGGGAAACTGGCGAATGCGCCACGCCAGACGAGTCAAGATCAACATCAACAATGATAAAGAACCTTACAGGACGCACGCACCCCAGATACAGGACGAGAAGGGCATCGTGGTCCTTCTCCCAAACACCCATCATCGCCTGGCCAAGTGTGAGAAAAGCATCACACAAATCCCAGCGTAGGAAGGGACTCCAAGCCAGCCAACTGGCACCGCTCCTCACTGTCAAAGTGACTGATAACCAAGAAAACCTGGGGAACTCACAGTCGAGAGGAGCCAAAAGAGAAACGACAAGTAAATAAAACTTGGTGTCCTGGGTGGGATCCTGTACATTAAGTAAAAACTAAGGAAATCTGAATAAAGTATGGATATTTTAAACAAGAACGTATCAATGTTAGTTCAATAATAATAATTAAAGTACCGCACTAATATAAAATGTTAACAATTGGGGAAACTGAGGGAGGGAGTTTATAGGAACTTCCTGTCCTATCTTCACAATTTTTCTCTAAATCTAAAAAAATAAAGCCATTTTTTTTTAGCACAAGGAATATTTAGAATAGCAATCCCACCCCTAGGTATGCACACAACAGAAATGAACCAGATATCAAAAAAAACCACTTTGGACATAAATGTTTATATGAGCATTCCTCATAGCGGCTAAATGGGAATGACCCAGAAGTCCAATAACTACTGACTTGGCAAATAAAAAGGGCGTCCGGCACAGCAGAGCCACCGGCCCTAAGAAGGAGCGAAGCACTGACACACGCCATGCAGAACCTCACAAAAATGCTCGCTGACAGACGCCAGTCAGAAAGACCCACGTGATGCTACTTCTAGGAACTGGCAAATCTACAGACACAAAGTAGGCCTGTGGCTGCCCGGGGATGGGGGTGAGGAGCAGGGTGACAGCCGGGGGGGCGGGGTTTCCTCTGGGATGATGACGACAGTCTAAAATTGACTGGAGTGACAGCTGTACGAGCCTGTAAATACGCTCAAAGGGTGAACTGTGTGCCAGATGAACTACATCTCAACAAAACTGCCATTAAAACCTGAGGGCCGCCTGGGTGGCTCCGGCCGCTGCGAGCCCAGCTCCGGCTCAGACCACGGTCTCACGGCTGCCAAGTTGCTGTCAGTGCGGATCCCGCTTCAGATCCTCTGTTCCTCTTGCTCTCAGCCCCTCCCCCACTCACGCTCGCTTGCTCTCTCTCAAAAATAGAAGAAACATTAAAGAAAAATGAATGTAGGGCGCCTGGGTGGCTTAGTCAGTTAAGCGTCCGACTTCATCTCAGGCCATGATCTCACGGTGCGTGGGTTCGAGCCCCGCGTCGGGCTCTGTGCTGACAGCTCAGAGCCTGGAGCCTGTTTCAGAGTCTGCGTCTCCCTCTCTCTCTGCCCCTCCCCTGCTCATACTGTCTCCCTCTCTCTCAGAAATAAATGAAAACATTAAAAAAATTTTTTAATACATAAACATTTAAAAAAAGAACGTATGTGAAAATGTTTTGAAAACCAACTCTTGCCACACAGATGTAAAGCAATAATCCTTAGCAAGTTCTAAATCCGGGTGAGTGGGAGGGTAAAGAGGAAATGCTACCACGTCTGGTGGAATGTAGGTGGTTACCCGGAAGCACAATCAGAGTTCTTCCCTCTTGCCTGCTGCAGGGGTCCTAGCTAGCGGTGAGAGGAAGGAAAACATGCCTCCTCACGACACACCTATGGCTCCGATTATCAAGGGATTTCTCCAGAGGAGGTGACCTGCAGGAAGGTCGTTCATAATAGGCAACACAACCCACTTACACCTGTCTTCAATTCCAAATCCCAGGGCGCTTTCACTACATTCCAAGCTGACGGATCCAAAAGGGGCTACCAGTCCCCACCCCCACCCTGGGGACCTGGGGGCCATCAGATCCAGTCTGGTAAGGCTCCACAGGGACGGGGCCAGCAAGAAATTGCCCAGCCTGCTGAGTAGTCCCACACCAGATGGCAAGAACAGCTTTCTGTGTTCAGCAGCTTACATTTTTGTTTAAATGACTGCATTTGTTTAATTGACTGCATTATTCAGATTTAAAAGAAAGGAAATTCTGAACACATGTTACAGCATGAATCAACCTTGAGGACGTTATGCAAAATGAAGTTAAGTCCGTACTTGTATGAGGTACTTAAGAGGAGTCAAGTCCAGAGAGGCAGAGAAAAGAATGGTGGGTGCCAGGGGCTGGGGCAAGGGGGGGTCAGGCACTTGTTACTTAAGGACACAGGTTCAGCTTTGCAAGAGGAAAAAGCTCCAGAGATTGGGGTGCGACGTAAAAGTGCTTAACACCACTGGACCACACTCTTTCGATGAACAAGACGGCAAATTTCCTGTGCATCTCACCACAGTTTTTAAAATTGTTTAAATAAACACTAACTCGTCCTGCAAGAGGCGGCTTCTGGGTGTGGCCA